ATACCATGTGCGAGAATCACAGCCACGGTTGTAGCTCCAGTTGATCGGTGTATGTGTCGCAGTTCGATCTTTCGGTGATCTCACGTTCTGTTGTTGGTCATGGATCCTTCGGACTTGAACATCGTTGCTTTTTGTGATGCTTGCAGCTCATCTCTTACGTTACCACGACAGACANCGACAGACACGGTTCTTTCCCCTTCCTGCATGTAATCACTTTATTGGTTCTCGTTTCTTACTTCGCAGTATCTTTCTGTCCCTTACTCCACAAAAGTCTATTGCGCGCCCTCACTTTTACGTTGTGATTCATCATCCTTTTTGGTTGGTGTCTATATTGCGTCTCCTGGTCACTCACTCAGCTGCAACTGTCTTGTCCTTCATTTTGAGTGAACTCCATGCCTATGCATTGGATGAGGTCATCACAGATTTGCTGTTGAGCGCCGATTTCTTTGCGGTTTACGGATTATACGTATGTGTTGGGTTCGAAAAGCAATCCCATTTCTTCACGATATATTTGGTGCTTTCGCCCGTCATCCTCTCTTCTGCACAGCGGTCTTCATTTCCGACATATTTTTGTATCAATGATTCGTTCAGTCCTTTCTCATACATTTACCCTTGTTTGATCCTCATTCACATGCTCATGCGTGACCATCCACGCACACTCGCATTCACCTCATTCTTTCCTTTTCCTCTGCTGTCAAGGCGGAGGCTCTTTTACACCCCACCCCCGACTAGCGGCACATACGTGATTATCAGTCTCCTAAGTTTTAGGTTGGCTGTGTGCGCCGCGACGTGATGATTGTTGGACCCGATTGGACCTCAGCGGGCTAGTACTTCTGTGCGATGCATTTGGTCCCATGTTTATCTCTGTACAAACTTACATTCAAGACTGTTTCCGGCACCGCCGTATCCACCTGCGATAATCGGGACATCCTTCATTTTTCCTGTTTTGTCACTGGTACCACGTTTATTTGTCGCCCTTAGACATAACTTTTGTTTATCTGCTCTCCTTAAAATCTTACAAGGAATTTTTGTCCTTGCGTTGTCCATCAGTCACTGTCACAAAGTCGCTGAGACCAAATTGCACACGGGTTTTCGGCGCAGATTCTAAAATATATTGGAACCTGATTACATCAAATAACATCAAGTGACTGATGTTGATCCATACTGTGCTTTTTGAAGATGCAACTGTTTGGTGATTACGCTTCTATTCCGTGTCCTCGATGCCGGTGAACCTTGAATTCCTGACGCGCCCTTCGAACACAAGATCGATACACTGAATCCGCTTTGTTTCGTCTATCGGCTGTTTGCGTCCGCTGTCCGGTACGCAGTGATATCCCTTACGGCTGAATAATGTCCGAAACCGTTGTAGTATTCAGCTCATGAAAGATCACCACTACAACTTCGTCGTTCACCGTGTCAAATACTGCTCCGGAACGGCCAGTGCGCATTAGGCGTCTTATACGCCTCGTGGATTCTTTTATTCTTTTTTTTCCTGATTCACCGCGTTTGCTTTTTTCTTGGTTCCACTACGGCGAAGCTTGGCTGTGCGTTCGTTGGTCTCGAATAGATATCAGACCAACACTTGCGTTTCCATGTTTTTCTCTTTCTAGCCATTGCTCGGTTCTGTCCCCCTCCGTGTATGTGCACGGGCTTGCGCGTTCGCTCGTCCACGTTGGTATTATGGGCTGCGTTTCACGCTTTCGTCTCCGCATATGACACCACTCGGTTTACTTGTGCACAGCCACTGCACTCACCAAAAGTATGCATGCTTGAGTATTTCACTGCGTGCGTACTCGTCCTGGGACATCCAATCCATGCCATGGTTGACTCACTTCCCCTAATTCTCTTCACTCTTGTCGTACATCCCCGTGTTCTTCTCGCGCATTAGCAGTACAGGTTTATCTAGGTCGCGTTACGCGTGTTAATGTGTATACGTGTTTGTCTCCCACAGTGTCAACCGGGATCACCGTTCTGTGGCACGTGATCCCTCTATCTCCGTATCGTCTGTAACCGTGCCCGGTCAACGATCGTCATCGCTGTTTCTACTTTTGCATCCTACTCCCAACATGTGCACATTGGCATACACGCGGTACCATCTTTGGGTGACCCAATTTATCCATCTGCAACCACACCCATCGGATACGTTCGCATATGAACGCACGCATACACAAAAACCTGGAGACTTTTTATGTTCCATACCGATCGGACCGTGTGTATTTGTTGACGCCGTCAACCCAAGCCTCTGGTCCTAACCAGCTTTACCTTCTTATTCTGTCCTCAAAGTGATAATTATACACTCCCAATACCCGTCCATCCACCCAATCATCCCCGACCTGTCCATCTTTGCTCTTCACCTCCGTTTCTGTCAGTTCCCCATCTCACTCACTCACTCACGAACACACACACACTAACTTGTGTAGAGTTTTGCTGCAGATGAGTCAAACTAGTGTTTTGCGTGAATTCTTTTTCACTCGACAAAGGTGCCCTTATAGCGAGGGTTGATATTCTATTCTCATTGGTTATGCCATTCAGGTAGACCATTTTGCCATGTTCCGAATAGAGGGGTTGAATTCTGTGACGGTTGCTTTCACCGCGCGGTTCCCATATATTATTGATGAATATCTCCCTCAGGGACCATTTTTGTGGCTCACGGGTTAATCTCCGCAATGCACGATTGTTACTCAGGCATACAAGGTGCCAAATAGATATCCAGACACTTGTTTTTGGCGAAATCAGTATTGAAACCAATAAAATCAATCTAAGTTGCTCTTTGCAATTCGATCTGTACTGTTTCTCTTCATTTGAACAAGAATAGTGCAGGTTTTTTGTCAAAACGGCCTTATCTACTGATAGTTTGATGTATCCAAGTCACAGTCACTTACACCTTCGGTAAGGAGAATGCGGCGCCTCCGTCAAGGGGGACAGTTCTGTTCTATGGGATTGCTCAACTAGTCGTATTGGTATATCGGGATGGGGGTGAATAGAGGGTATTTGATACTTGTTCCCCCTGGTCATTCATAGTGAGGTTCTCTTCAGTTGCGAGATAGTGCTGAATCAATTCGTGAAATATCACCAGGCGGAAACTGTTCAAGTTTATTGAACTCAAACCCATTGTTTGGTTTGACGCAATGTCGTAAACTAAGAAGATAAATGGAACTCGAAGCCCGTGAGGGCTTATCATACTTGTTTTCAGCGATCATGTGATTGATGGTTTTTAGGTTGATCTTTGTGAAATATAAGCGAACATTCTATGAAGGCTCTAAGCAACTTGTCATATTTTGCTTCACAGAGAATTCACTTATTGCTCAAAGCACTTTTGGTTTACCAAGAATTTTTTCGAACAAGTTCATGTGAGGTCATTTTCTGTAACCCATCAGTGAATTGTACTCATTGTTTATGGGTTACCTGACAAATCTGCCTGTCACATGAGGATACCTGTTGGCATTTTAGCATTCATGGAGGATGATGCCATTATTTCAG